TACTACTTTTCTCCTTCTTGCTTTCTTCTCCTCAGTAGACAAAAAAAGAGACTCGTTGTAAACGCCATCTCAAAAGGGCAATTTACTTATCTTATCTATCTCTACTGCCATTTAATTTTCTCTTATTGTTTATGTCAGCTTTRACTCAGTGCAATCATGAGCCGTCTAATCATCGTGTTCATTGTCGTTACAATGATATGCGCAGCCACTGCCCTGTCGACGAAGAGGAGAATCAATAAAGAAGAAAAAGGTACGTCCAGAATATCTTGAGTAATCGTCTATAAAGCGTAGGCTTACAGAAAGCACAGGTTGTGTGTGTTGTTAATACATCACTCTCACTGCTGTGCATGGTTATGGGATTGGTCACTGGACCCGTCAGCATATAAGTAAAGTTTGTTTAATTGGTTCTCTGTTTTGCCTCCATATTCATGTGTCTTCCGTGTTAAAAAATGATACTCTAGGGAATACTCTAGGGAATGACACGCGCTCTGACATAGGAAAGCATAACGCTTAAGGTAAAGAAGTGTATATACCCGTTCGATTCATCAAATATAGCAGTTGCTTGAACTAAAATGTGAAAACAAAACCCCACGGTAAAGTCAAAAAGAGGTTTCCGTTAGATCTTAGCGTTTTTGCCTATATTGAATTATTTAACCCAAGTTAATCGAACTCAAGCAATGTTTATGAATAAAACAACTAAATCAGTGACCGAAAATGGTACTCGTAGTTATGTGGATTTGAAAAAATACGCGAAGAATTTCATTAAAGATTGACCTATGCCATCTATACTATGACCTAGGGAAACACGGGTTGTGTAGCGGTGAGAGCGTTCACCTCTCACAGGACCCGCGAATCGGGTTCGATTGCCGGATTCGGTGTCGTATGTGAGTAGAGTTTGTTGGTTCTTTCCTGTGAGTTTTGGGTGTTTTGAGTTTTTTCCTTTTTCCCGCTTAAATCATCTTCTAAATTAAAATTGGAATCTAGCGGAAGAAGAGCCACTCTGTGAAACGACTGAAAATTCCCCATCTATTCATTAACGCATAAATATTATTGACACTATAACAGAAGAAAAAAGAGTCGTAGCCGTGGCTGGCGCCATTATTAAAGGTGCAACCCTGACCTTCAACGTCCTGCAGACCGTGCTCAAAGCACTCGGTGACATCAGTCGAAAGATTGCCGTCGGTGTCGACAACGAGTCGGGCATGACGTGGACCGCAACTAACACGTACTTTCGTTCTGGTACCTCTGATATCGTCCTTCCCTATAAAGTTCCACATGGTAAGGCACTGCTCTACAACGGTCAGAAAGATCGTGGTCCAGTTGCGACTGGCGTGGTTGGAGTACTTGCTTATGCCATGAGCGATGGAAACACCCTGGCCGTTTTATTCAGCGTTCCCTATGACTATAACTGGTACAGCAACTGGGGGAATGTCAGGATCTTTAAGGGAAGGAGGCGAGCAGACCAGAGGATGTACGAGCAACTCTACTACTATTTGTCTCCATTTCGAGGGGACAATGGCTGGCACGAAAGGCACCTTGGATATGGGTTGAAGAGCCGTGGATTCATGAACAGCGGTGGACAAGCCATACTGGAAATTCACGTGACCAAAGCTTGAGATCTTGTTGAAAACAAATCGGTTGAAATGCTGCCTCGAGAATACTGATGTAAAACTAGCAAAAAGACTCTAATTTTACCCTGTAAGAACAAGAAAACTAGATCTTCCCATAACATAAAGACAAATAAAATGAAGCACCAAAAGATATTGTACTTTTATTTGTTGTTAAGTAATCGTAGTAGAGTGTACGCCATATACTTATTTCAATAAGGTTAGTCACCAAAAACCTAGAAAGCTGAGATCGTTGAGGATCATGGGCAACAGTCCATTTCAAACAAGTAAAGCGTTTTTGATACAAACTGCAGCATGATGATGCTCATGAGAGGTGAGACTATAACTGGTAAAAAATGTGCAAGTCCATCAACAGTTATCAAGCGGTTAAAACAAATAAAATGTATCTACCCATAATCCTTGTCGGCCTCAGCAGTATAGCTTTTCAGGTGACTAATTTTATTGAAATGTGTATAATTACAAAAGAAAATACCTCTACCCGTCTTTGTTTGGTTCATGCTTGAGTTAATCCTTTTAAGGATTAAAAAGCGTACAGCAAAGGAAAAAATATTATCAAAATCACTTTTTATGTGAACAGCGTAGCAGTATGGTTGCAGTATCTTTGTATATGGTCTTCTCTTTTCGGAGATAGAAGCATTTGAAATATGAATAAACAAATGAAATGACGCAAATTCAAAAAGTAAAATAACCTAAAAGTGTACAAAACTATATATTTCAGTTATAAGGTTTATTTGCAAATGAAAAAAAAAAAAAACAGCAGTACTTTCCTTTTTTTAAATTTTAGTCTATTTATTTATTTTTGCGTATTTTGTTTTTCTCCTTGTTTCCTTATATTTTGTCTATATGGAGCGAAACATGTCAGTAGCAGCAAGCTGGAGTGCTCTGCAAGTAACGGGCAATGCTGCATTTCGGACAGATGGACTGCCATGTCCGAGGATCGTCCTGGTCATATAGACCTCAGGTAGCCAAAGCAATGTATTTGTGGTTTGTATGATAGCATGTACAGTAAATGTATGGGACGAAAAAATATGCAATTAAACATATTTTTTGGCGATCGAACACGAGTGATGTCGAGCTGGAGTCCTCAGCCCTTTTTGTTTTTGTTCACTGGTGGACTAATTTTTTTTAAAAACGGCTCTAAAGCAGCTAAAACCACCCAGAATGAAGTTAAATACAATTAACAACAACACAGGAGCAAGGTATGTTCATTTTTTTTTGAAAAATATTGCATATATTTTCGTCCTATATAATACTTAGGTTGCCTGTGTATAGAAGAGGTGCAGTGCATGTTGATAGTACTCCAGGAGATATTTCTTGTAGGCCATCAATGATATGTTCTTAACTCGTAGATGTTCTGGTAGAGCATTCCACGTTCCGCATGCTCTAACGAAGAAGCGCTGCTAAGTTACGGTTCTGCATCTTTTCTGAGTGAAAGTTACTGCTCTGGTGTTATCCGATGCTATTGTTGTTCTGCCTGCATCCTTCATGACTTGTAACACCTCACTTTCTATGTAAACCAAACCATCAACGACTTCAAAGAAGATGATGTCTAGCATTTCATGCGAATAATAGATGGGCAACACATTGGTTAGTTGTAGTCTTTGTATAACTCAATGTCACAGCGGAATGGGAGTTTGAGTACAGATACTTTTGCGCGCCCCATTACACGTAGTCAACTTGTTTAATGAGCGCAATCTACTCGATAGCATCCTAGAGTCAACTTGGAACACCAAGATGGCTGCTCCATAAAATTCTACCAAAAATTGCGTCGCGTTTACTTGGAACACCAAGATGGCTGCTCCATAAAATTCTACCAAAAATTGCGTCGCGTTTACTAAATAGCTGTTAACGATGGTTTAGTTTAGTTTAGTTTAGTGCGTTTGCCACCCTAGGTGGACGGCGGGATGTCTAACAGGCCTACGGTCCAATTGATAAGGCAGCCGGTTAGCACGGGCACTGAAGATGATCGTCACCAGCGTCTTCAGTGAATCTTTTACGTGCGCCTTATACAGGTTACATAGTGAAGACAGACGGGGCCTACGGTTTTAAGTCCTTGTCCGAGAAGACCTGAAGGTCTAACCATTTTGCAGATATAATTACAAAGGCAGCACCTTCTCCTCAGTTATTTTAAGACCCTGAGTGTTGGTCCGGCCGCGGCTTGAACCACGACCTCCCGCACAACAGACCGACGCTCTTACGAACTAAGCTAACCGGGTGGCGCACTCTCTACTCCACTTGATACACCATTCACTACTCAACGCACTCTAGCAAACAGTCAAAACTACTTACTAGAAAGTGCGTTACACACCACAGGCATCCCATGAGAAGCAAGACAGATAGCCGCCACAGTTTTGGTTTTTTGACCCTTTTAGGRATACTTGTAATCCATCAATACAAAACACTACCAATGTTTATTAATGTTGTTTAAACAATAAGATACAATGTAGTGCAGACCATATGTCCGTAAGCAACTTGCTATATATAAGAATTTGCACAAATTTGCTAAAATTAGTAAGTTCATTAGACATCATTACATACATACATACAGACAGACAGACAGACAGACAGACAGACAGAAAGACAGACAGATAGACAGACAGACAGACAGAAACACAGACAGACAGACAGACTGTTATGCAAAAATAAACAAGGCTACGATATACCTGTAGAAAAAATGTTCTAAAACAACTGTTATAAATCGAACGGGTGGAAGGGGTGCTTTGTGAGAGCACAACGCAAGCAAGCGCACCTTCAGTTGCGTCATGCATTCCTATCTGAAGATAAAGGTTATTTTAATATTTGATATTATTTTGTAAAAGAAATAAAAAACTTGCGTGCTGTGCTGTATGGAGTTATAAAGCACTTGGTGATTGGCAGGACACTCGAGAAGTGTCGAGAAGCACTCGGCTACGCGTCGTGCTTCCCCAAACACTTCTCTTGTTATTTGCCAACCATCGCGTGCTTTATAACTCCACACAGCACGCACGTGCGTTTTCTATTTCTTCTAACAGAATACTGTTAAAGCCTTTGTAAGTGGATCCGAAATCTTGCAGGATTACCACTTTTTATCCGACTTGTACTTTAGCAGGAGAGATATAATACAATTATTAGATTCATAGATATAAATTATCATCTAACAAGAGGCTTCACTAGCAGCTGAGCCGAGCAAGCCGAACAGAAATATATCGGTTTTTGTAGAGTGGAGTGATTTTTGTAGAAAATTCTTCCTAGACTTATACTCCACTGATTACATGTGAAGTTACAATAGGCATTTACAGGACAATAATGATATGACTGGATTGCTAATGTCATATCCAAAACCTTTTCAAAAATACTTTTTTTCTTTTATAAGATACTTCCAATTTCAAGATACAAAGCATTTTAAATTTATTTGCCATGCAGCACAGCCTTCCCCAAGGGACCTTGGACTGAATGAACTACTTCGACGATACGGCGGCCATCGTGGATCGCAAGGCATTATGGAGATTCCAGGGGGCAAATAAAGCTTTGTTACAGTAATGATAGATATTAACAGCTCATCACAAGAAAATAAAACAAAAGATGAATTAAGACGGCACATCGATCACCTTTACTAATAAAAGAAAGGTAAACACACGAAACGATTTGCCACCGAAGTTGGCCGTCGTATCGTCGAGGTCGTCCATTGATTTGTGGCAAAGTGATATATCAGTACGTGACTGTTTGATGTCAAGGATATCAAAGTCTTTGAAGATCGCTATTAATATGCAGATTTTAAAAAGGAATATTTCGAGATGTGTGCATTTTGTGACATCGTATTTCCATCGTATCTCTCTTTGTCTGTCTGTCTGTCTGTCTATCTTTCTCTCTCTATTTCTACTTATATCTAATATGCATTGTCAATCTCTTCCAGATAGTATCGTGATTCTCCTATAAGTTTGATAGGGAGAGAGCCGGCAATACAAACTCGTATTGTCAGCTCAAAATTACCTCGCAATAGGAAAATCGCGATGCTAAACCTGTTTCGATTTTGAGCTTCCCGAGTACAGCCAATACGGGTTATATTTTCCCAACATCGTCAAAAAACCGGTATTGGAGGTTCAAAATAGCAATATGACTACTAAAATGACGAGTACAGCATTGAACTGAAGATTTGGTGAGTTAGAGGACGAAAATATCTCAATAGTCCCCTTCATAGTTCACTGCGCCATCTTGAAAAACATGCCTCTGCATCGAAGCGAGACAAACGGTGAGCTTGCAATGATAGAGACATGTGAATAATGTTCCAAGGTGTTAAAAAAGGTCTCTATCATCGCAAGCTCACCGTTCGTCTTGCTTCGATGCAAAGGCACAGCTACCTTTTAAGATGGCGCTGGGAACTGTGAAGGGACTACTGTATTACATTTATCAAAAATCGATGCTATCAAGCATGCAATGCCTACTTTACCAAATGGTATTTTTGGAAGGTCACCTGAACTAAATACTACATGCATGCTGAAACCTGCTCCTCCACTCCCCATTCCATTCAACCAGTCTACCCTGCCCACAGGGTTTTGTTATATAATGATTCTTGCTTTGTTGGCTTGATAGAGTGCATGCCATACATATAAACGAATGAAACGATTACTATCCATGTAGTTCTTTAAAGTATTTAAAACTATACAGCTGTAAAATAGCTAAGAATTCACTCAGACATGAACCAAACGAAGACGGGTAGAGGTATTCGCTTTGTAAATATACCTATTTCAATAAAGTTAGTCACCTGAAAAGCTATAAAGTTAAGGCCGACAAGGATTATGGGTAGATACCTTTTACATGTTTCAACCGCTTGATAACTATGAATACACGACTTTCATAACTGGCTGCTGCTAATTTGCATAAACATTAAAAATCAATGTTTTTGGAGTGAAAACCCTTTTAAATCATTGA